CTCCTGATCAGGGCACATGGACAAGGGGTACAGTGACCACTGAGACTCTGTGGACCCAGAGACCCTAGTGAGGACACTGTCCACAGGGCTCTGCTTTGGGGGACTAAGGCTGAGTGGCCAGGGATCCAGACAGAAGGGCCTTGCCAGGCCTAGGCACCAAACTTGGGTTAAGCCTAGAAGAGCCCAGAGGCCAGATGGAGGCACCTCCTTTTCCGTCCTCCGTGGGACACAAAGGCAGCCTGTGTGCTGGCTGGAAGCTGGCCCCCCGCACAAAGGGACTCTGTGCACTGTGCCTGGAGGGACCCCGGAGCTGCTCAGCAAAGGCCCAGTGCTGGGTCCATGACCTCTGCCCTCTCCCCTAGAGAGAGAGTTCCCTGCTCTCTCTCTCCTGTGGCCCAAAGAAGCGACCACTCCCACAGAACCTGAGCACACAGGCCAGCATTCAGAGCCCTGCACACAAGGAGCACCCCCATGCATCCCCAGTGTGAAGAAGAGCCCTGCGCTTGCATGTGGCACACGTGTTCGTGCCCGCTCCCCCTGTGCCCACACACCCAGGTGGGCCAGGATGCCCAGAGCCCGGCATACTCTCGCTTGTGAGACAAGTTGGAGAGGGGCCAGGGTCCCCACCATGCAAGTAGAAGCTGGCTAGTCTCCGTCTGGGATTGGGGCTGGGGCCTGAGTTCCCCCCCTTCTACCACTTCCCTTCAGGGGCTCTCCTGAGGAGGGGGGCTGGAGGGGGATGTCTGGCTCTACTAATGAGTTAAAGCTGCAGCTCCCCCAGACCCCAGGCTGCAGGAGGCAGGGGGGTAGGGGTGGCTGATGGCTGCTTCCTGTGTCTGACAGGTCCCAGCCTGGCTGCACAGCAGGGGGGGGGGCTGAAGGGAGTCTTCAGGACTCCCCCACAGTCTGGGCCCAGATGAGAGCCAGCAGCCAGAGTAAAGGCTGTTTGACTGGATAGACCCAGGGAAAACCCTGGCCAGGTGGGCTGGGGGCATAAGGGCTCACCGTCTGGGGGACCGGGGCTGGCGGCACCCAGCGGTTGAGACGGTTTTCAGCCAGGTGCAGATAGCTGTGGCGGAAGGCCCCAAGGGACGTCAGGCCGCCCACCACCTTGTATAGCTCCAGGCCCATCAGGCCTGCCACGGCTGCGGTGGTGGTGGCAATGGCTGGGATGATCTTTCCTACGATCTGCTTGCTCTGCCAACGACAGAAGAGTCTTGGTTAGCCTCAAGGTGTGGAGCTAGTGTTTCAGCCCATGCCCCCGGCAGGGTTACCTGGGCACGGTTGGCTGGAGGGATCCCGTAATTCTGAGCGCGGAGGCTCGCTGCTGCCGTCACGAAGTCCATGTGGAAATTACTGTCATCGTCCTGCATCATACCCAAGCCACAGGTAGGATTCCCACTGCAACCACTGCCCCTCCCGGGGGCCAACCATGTGCTACTCCCCTGGTCTCCACGCTGTTCTAGGGTACGGGTCTCCCAAGCACCCATTAAGGAGGCCGTGTCTCAAGGAGGGGTGGGGGGGCTCTGCTGGGAGGAGAACTAGGCCATAAGGCTCCAAAGCCAGCCTCTTAGCCCCTGACTGTCCCCATAACCTCCCCAGGTAGCCCCGCACCCACACTGGGCTCCTACCTTCTCGAAGAGCAGGGGCTTCAGGGGTTCATGGCCCAGGCTCCAGACTTCCAGAGTTTCTTGAAGTTCTTTCAACTGCTCGGTGTCTAACACGAGAGGTGGGTGTGGGGCAGTCCGCCAGCACTCACCTCTGCATTGTTCACCTGGCACCTGTCCTTGGTCTCTGTCAAACTCATCCCTCTCTGCTTCCAGGGAGCCCGGCTCCCTTGATTGACACCACAGCTCCCCTCCCACAGCCCTAGCCCTCAGTCTCATACTTGTGCCTATGGCTCTGTCCGCACTAGAGGGAGCCTAGCCAGGGGGTCCCCAGGGCCAATGGGTTGATTTTGACTTACTGACATCCACCCCCATCCCCCACGGGGCTGAGGGTGCAGGGGGCACAGCAGGGAGAGGACCTGCAGCGGGGGCCCCTTGGGAAGAAAGAAGAAAAGTCTGTGGGAGGCAGGGAGCTGAGGACAGGGCCCAGGTGCCAGCTTCCTCTGCAGCATAGCAGGCTGAGGGCAGGGTCAGCCCTGTGGGTGACAGCATAAGGGGCAGGGCCAGGGGTCTCACCAAATGTGGTGGAAGCCTGAGCTGACTCCGGGTCACTGGCCCGCCAGGTGGGGGCCAGGTGCTGGGGACCGGGCAATGGCAACTTCAGCAGCTCCCTGAGCGCAGTCTGGTCCTTTGAGCCACACAGCCCATGCACATGGGCATACAGGTTGGCAGCTGCCAGCACATAGAGGAGGTGCATGTCCTGCAGGGAGACCCAGAGTAGGGGCAGATGCCGGGGAGTGAGCGCTGCCTGTGTGTGGAGAGCCTGTCTCTGCACCGCATGTGCACGCCACATGTGCATAACGGGGTCTCTCTCTTGGCCCACGTGCAGCTCTGCAGAATGCAGAGGCGCCCATCTCCCCCTCTAAGGAGCTGCATTCCCATCTTGGGGCTCCCCGGGGGACCCCACTCACTTGGTTGGCATCAAACTCCAGGGGTTGGGGACACTGTTTGGGACCCGACCAGAAAGGCGTTCCGTTCTCAAGCACCTGGGGAAATCAAGGCTGCTGGCATCAGGCTGGCTCCCTGCCTGTTCCTCCTGGCCTTCAGCCCCCTGCCCCCAACCCTCACCCCAACCTTCTCAGGTGGAAAGCACTTCAAGAGCTGCCTGATGCTGTCATGGAAGCATAGCTGCCAGTGGCCACGTGCCCACATCACACAGTCGTGCCAGGTCCGCGGACGCTCCCTCAAGACACCCCGCACTGGCTGCAGCAGAGTCAGCATCTGCATCTCCTCGGTGTCCGCCAGGGAAGTGGGTGCTCTATGGAGAGAGGTGGGGAGTTCGAGTCCTGAAGACCCTGGTCCTGGGCCCCCTGCCTGGACTGCTACCCACTTAGGTCAGTGGCCTTACTGCTGATGGCGATTGATGACCTCAGCAGATAGTCGGAAAAGCCCCTCGAACTCATTCCGAGCCCACTGCAGGGAATGGGGAGCAAGGTGGGGTTAGGTGGGCACGGGTTTATAGCAGAGGCTAGGCTAGGGGGAGGGGAGAGGCCGTCTCTGTGGCCCCCTCACCTCCAGAGTGTGTTCAACATTGCTGGGGAAGAAACGCACGGTGCAGACGGGATTGCCAGCATCCTGAGAAGCTGTGGGGGCTTTGTAGACCTCCGTCACGTGGGGCACGGACACAGAGGTGCTGCCCATGGTGCCCAGAGTGCCCGCCTCCAACATCGGCTTCAGATAGTGGGTGCAGCGGGCAGCCACATAGCGTCCTGACCGGGGTGGGGTGGGTGATGGGCAGCAGAGTCAGACGGGGCACTGGCACTGTGCTGGGCAAAGGGCTGGGTTCCACAGATGGGCACTCACTGGCCTGGAAACTGTCTAGGGCAGCCGCCACACCATCCACACGGGAGAAGAAACTGTCCCCATAGATGTGCTCCGTGGTACGGTCCAGCGGGTGGGTGAATGGGGTCACGTGCAAGCCTGGATTCAGGCGGCTGGCAGCCTCTGCAGCCACCTGTGCCTTGGGACTCTGGGAGGAAGGCAGGTGGGCATTGTGGGGGGCGCTGTGGGGCAGTCAGGACATGGGGCATGTGGAGGGGTTGGTACTCACACCAATGTCCTCAGGCCTGAAGAGGAACTGGCGGCTGAGGTTGGAGCGTTCGATGTGGTCCATGTCGGCCACTGTGATGCTCCCGGAGCCGCTGGCGCCCAGGCCCATGAGGGCAAAACTCTTGAGCAGTTCACAACCGATGGCGCCAGCACCCACCTGCCCGGTGGGAGAGGCCTTAGTCCCAGGGGCCTGTGCCAGCCCTCCCACAGACACCCCCACCTCACTGCTCAGCTCACCAAGAGGTAGTGCTGGTGGCTCAGCTTCTCCTGAAAATCAGCCCCAAATACTGCTGTCTGCCCGTCATAGCGGCAGCCTCTCTGGGAGACACGGATAAGGGTCAGTGGTGGCCACTGGCCTGCCCTGCATCGTCTCCCCTTGACACCAAGTTTTCTGGGACAGCTCTTCCTAGCTCTGCCCCACCCTTGGCGTCCCATGGGGCCAGCACCCTCCTCCCACCTCCCACCCCAGATTCTTACTGGGGCACACTCCTCCGGGCTGAGGACCCCATCTTCCGGAAGGCAGTCAAGAGCATCAAAATACAGCCACTGGTCCAGGGGCATGAACGTCCGGGAGACAGCCTGTGTGAAGCATGCGTCACTGTGACCAGGGCGCCTCTACCACCGGCTCATGGCTCACTACCTCAGAGCTCCGCTGGAGGCTGCAGTCAACCTCAGGGGCTGCCATCCAGGGCTTGCCGCCCTCTGGTGGTGATGCACAATGTGGTGCCCGCACTGGTCTCTTTGCCCTGCCCAAGTTCACCTTCAGCACTTCCTGGGCAGCTACAGCACCCAGCAGGGCCGCCATGGGGCTCAGGTCACCGGCGCTGCACAGAACAGCCGCTCGCACGAGGGCCTCATCCAACGGCTCTTCCGATGTTCCCTGCAGTGGTCCCAGGGCCTGGGCCAGTCTCCCCACAGCCTCTGCATCACCCTGCAGAGGGCACACCACGGGCACAGCAGCCCTAGCCTGAGTCCTTGACCCTCCTCCCCCAGCCTTCTGGGCGTCATTCACTCTGTTCACAAAAGAGGATGCAGAGGCCTGAGTGGGAGTGGCCACTGTGCTGGTGCCCCTCGCTTTCAGGAACCAGGCTCTAGTCTCCGGATCAAGGCAGCATTCCTTAGCATCTCCTTTTACCAAGAGGTAACATTTCCTCTGAGATGTGCACCAGGATTTGCTCTGCACTAAGGTCATTGTCACCTCCGGGTGGGTGAGCCCCCAGGTAGACACAGGCAGGGTTGGCTGGGCCACTCACAGGATGCCAGGGCCGGGGCGGGTGTCCGGAGCTGGTCTGGAACTGGTGCAGTGCACGGAAGACTTGATGCAGGCAGTGGGCACGGTGGGCTTCCTGGGCCACCACTCGGGGCTGGTGCAGGGCTGTGGCCAGGGCCTCCTGGAGAGGACAAGCAGCTCAGGTCAGGAGCCGTGTGCTGGGTCCCCCCCCCCAACTTTCCCACCTGGCACCCTGCACTCACATGGCTCACAGTCTTGGGTTCCTTGACTTCAGTGACAATCCCACCGTGAAGGTAGCAGGAAAAATGTGTTGTGTCCCCAATCTCCAAGGTCCTGGTATCTGGAGTACATCCAGCCTAGTCAGCATGATCCCCGACCCCGATCCCCATGCCCACTCCTGACTTGCATCTGTGTCCCTCACCTTGTTCCACCCCAAAGACTAGGCTGTGTGGACCTTCAGTGGGGGGGCCCGGGCATTGAGACCACGGCACGAGTGGGGCTGGCTTACCCCGTACGCGGATGGTCTGAGTACAGCCATTGAGTTCAACCATGCCTCTGATGCCTGAGAAAGTCACCAAGGCCTCGTCTTGGAAGATGGGAACATCAGTCCCTCTCAGGGTGACAACACCAGGAGAGCCCTGAATAGGGAGGGCTTGTCTCAGGGGTGCCTGTACCAGCCTTCCCTCCCCCACCCCCAACCCGGGCAGTGGCAGCCCTCCCTAGAGGCAAGCAGAGCGCCCACATCAGCACCCACCTGGGAGATGTTTTGGATGGCAGCCACCAGGGGTTCTGCCTCAGTAGGATCTTGCACCCTGAAGTCCTCGCCAAAGTCACAGAACAGCTGCCTGGGGTGGGGTGGGGGGCAGCAGGCATTGAGGTAGCTCTTCTACGAAGGCAGGTCCAGAGGGCCAACGCGGGGAAGGAATGCTGGGGAAGCATTGAGGCTGGAGTGGGAAGGGACCATTGAGCTGGCCAGGCCAGGGTGGAGGATACAGGGGAGTGAGCCTGGAGGTCAGGATGGGGACAAGCCCGGAGCTGGGGCCAGTTCTGGGACCAGCTGCTGGCGTTGATGGGGGCAGCTGGGCAGGGAGTACCACTCACCCGACAAGGCCCCGGGTGTCGGCCATCACAAAGCAGACCCCATGCTGGTGGCAGAACTGACCCACCCTCAGCTGCTCCTCCAGCTCCGAGTTTGTCAGCACCACCACCTGGGTGGGACCCTCTGATGAGCAGGGCGGAGCCTCTGCCCAGCCCCAAACTGGGCTGGGTTACTGAGGACAAGATTGGCTGGAGGCTGGAGGAGAAGACCAGGCCAGCCTAGAGAGCAAGCAGTCTGGGGACACACCTGGTACTCCAGCAGCAGGTCCTCAGTGAGGGTGCCTGGGTGGACGGAGACCTGGGTGGCTCTGTTGAGCTGAGCTACGGGCTCCCGAGAGGCCTCAGCCCGACTTGTTCCCAGGTCTTTCTCTGAAAGGAAGAACTGGGGAGAGGTCCAGTCTGCCCTGAGCAGGGAGTCCTCTCTTGGGTTCAGCCCGAGCTCTGGGCTGGAAACCCTCAGTCCCCCATCCCCACCCCCAGGTTCCTCCTCACCTGGGCAGTCAAGTCTGACCAACAGGTGGGGTGAGGATCATGCAGAGTGAGGCTGCCCACCCCCATCAGCACCAAGTTCTTGGCCACCTCAGCCCCCAGGCCCCGGAGGCCGGACAGCAGGACCTTGGCCCCCTGAATCCTCACCATGGCCGCTGAGCCCAGGACATACCTGTGGGTGCGGAGTGGACATATGCTGTCAATCAGTGGTCAGAGAGCCACCCCCCACCCGCGCCCGCAGCCCACCTCTGCCCTTACAGCTGCCGGGAGTACAGCTCTTCGTCCAGCGATGACGTGGTGGGGGGCTCCGGGCGGTCCATTCCGGAGGCGGGGATTAGCCAGAGGGCAGCGGCGCTCACCCGCAGTCTCTGTCTGATGACAGTGCCCACAAAGGCCAGCCCCAGCGGTGGCTCCTGCCCGGAAGCACCCAGATCGCGGAAGTAAAGACCGCTGGTAGTCACAGCCTTTCCCCGGGGCTCAGGTCATTTCAGGGAAATCGAAACTGAGCTCCGAGCCGACCGCCTCCTGGCCCCGCTCCAGCGGTTGGCCATACCTGCAGCCCGGATAAGACGCGACGGAGCGGGAGCTGATTCGAGTGCGCGGTGGGCTGAGCGCTGTGCCGGGCGGTCCAAACCCACCGGGCCCTCCTCGCGCGCGAGGGGAGGCTGCTCGGGTCCCGAACCCCACGGAGCAGCTCCACTCTGCCCTGCAGATCTCCAGGTGGGAACCCATTCAAACCCTCGGCTCCGCAGAGGAGGTGCCTCTCCTGGGGGAGGCGCAGGTGGTGGGCGGGGCCCACGTGGGTGGGACCTGGAGCGTCACCTGCCCAACCTCAGGCTGCCCTGTCTCCCGCCGGCCGGCTCTGTCCGGCTGGGTCGGAGTTCCCTGGTGGCCGGGGCTGGATGCCTTGCTGTCCAGCACAGAGGCAGCACGGCAGGGCCAGCCCCACCCACCCCAGACGTAGCGGGGTTACCCTGAACCCCTAAACTACAGACCCAGGGTGGAGCCTGACATCTCTTTGGTTGAGATCGTGGCCCCAGCCCAGAGCCCTCTGTCTCTGCAGGGGATCTGATTACCGCCTGCCTGCGGTTGTCAGACCAGGACAGAGACATACTGGCAGTAAGTGGACCAGACAGGGCGTCCCACTTGGGACCAGTCCTAGGACTTCAAGGCGGAGGTCGGTCTGAGAGCTAGATGCTCTCAGCAGGGGAGAGAGATAGGGCAACTGCATTTGCATGCGCGGCACTTAGATTTTAACAGTTCTATTAGCACTTGATCGCATGTCATGCAATTCAGTATTTCAATCATATCAAGAAGAGTTGTACCATGATACCACAGTCCATTCTAGAACACTTTCTTCTTCCATATACCCATTGTCATTCTTGTTTTTCTAACTGTGGCAAAAATATGCACGAGAAAACATTCTCCAGCTGCACAACTTCTACGTCATTGATTATCCCCTTCGTGTTGTACAACCATTATTGATATCCTTTTCCAAATTGTTCTACATAACATAAACTCAATGCCCCTCAGAAACAACTCTCTTTCCTTCCTCCATGGGAACCGTTGGTCATGTTTGGTTTCTTTCTTCCCTTTAAGTAGTTTTCTTGAGCTGGTATTCACAGATCACACACTTCCATGGTGAAGTCGCTTTTAAAATGAATTGTATATGTATCATCACAATCAGTTGTAGTGCTCCCTCCCCACTCCTGAATTCATTGTTTGCTCCCCAAGCCCCCCGCCACCCTGACCGCTATCCCCCCTCCACATCCCTGATAAACCATTGCATCAGCTATTGTTTCTATGCATCTACTCTTTCTGTGCTTCACAAACTGGGAAAACCCAGCAGAAACAATAAGAAACAAAAACAAAACAGCAAGAAAAATAGTAATAATATAAAGATAAAAATACAAATAAAGAGTAAGAAAGAAAAAAGGGGGGGGGAAGTAAGAAAGATAAGACCACCATCAATATTTTTAATATAAAGATAAAAATATAAATAAAGAGTAAGAAAGAAAAAAGGGGGGGGAAGTAAGAAAGATAAGACCACCATCAATATTTTAAAAAACAGAGAAGAAATTTCTGTCATGGAACAAACAAGAAATACTTGAGCCTAGAACAAATCCAGGTTTGGGTCAAGAGTGAGGTCAACTGACCAAGTATCAAATTATCCCATGTTTGCTCCATTATAATCCAGTTTACAATAATCTCTATCTGATGGTAAAGCTGTTCGAGACCCTTGCCCTGTGGCTAGAGGGGATCTGTCAGAGACTTAATCTGACTGGATGCTCTACAGATGGGTTTGCGGCTCCCACTGTCCTCCACAGCCTTCTACAAATTGGGTGTTCACAATAAGCTCTGATACTTTTCCCTTTGTCATATTTGGATTTTGTTATTGTCATCTTTGGATCACACAGGCTGGTATGCCTCTTCTGTGTGAGCTTAACTGATTCCTGACTTAGATGACTGTTAGAATACAAGCCTTTCAAGCCACACACACTATTCCAATTGATAGCAGGGCACCACCTCTTTCTTCAACACGCTTTGCTGTAGCGCCCTGCTCTTCAGTGATCATTTCGTGAAGCATTTAGATTTTGTGTCAACTTGCACGTGTGTGAAAGTGGAGGGGTGGAGTCCAGGGAGTGTGACCTTTTTGTAAGAGAGACGCTGAGAACTCTCTCTCTCTGCCCTCCACCTTCCTCCTCAAAGGGACTCTGTGTCTGCCTCCAGGGACCTGAAAAGCTGTTGACACCTTGTATGACTCTGTACCATTGGCCCATGATCTCCCTGCGTCTCGCTGTACCTTTCTGTGTCATCGGCCTGCAGCTGTGTGACTCTGCAGAGGGCCCCGGGCAGCACTGGACCCATAGATTTGAGATGTGCTGGGCTGGGACACATTCTTGGTATAAAATTACTTCTTTTTTTTAAAAATTACTTCTTGATATAAAGTTTTTTCATATACATATGAGTGTCACTAGTTTTGTTTCTCTAGACAACCCAATCTGACAACGTGGGTCTCTATTTTTTTTTTTTAACATTTTATTAGGGGCTCATACAACTGTTATCCCAATCCATACACACATCAATTGTGTAAAGCGCATTTGTACATCGCTTCTCAATCTATTTTTCTTTGAATAGTTTGAAATCATGATAAATTCCCCGGAAATTGCAAAAATAGTGCAGAGAGGTTCTGTGTACTGCCACCCACACAGGTGTCCCGCTGTGGGGGGCTGGTTTTCCAGACAGTGGTCCTCAGCTTCCCAAACAACCCACAACAGCAAATCCCTATTACGCAAGGATCATGAGCCAGATGTTGTCAAGTCATGGTGTGTGTGTACAAATAACATTTTTAAAAATTAGGATAAAATTTACATAACAAAACCTACCATTTTAAATTGTATAATGCAATGGCTTTCAAAATATGTTGTGCAACTATTGCCACTACCTAGTTCTAGTTCTCATTTTCATCACCCCAAAAATGAGAACCCTATGTTCATTAAGCACTCACTTTCCATTCAACCCTCTCCTAGCCCCTGGAAATCACTCATGCAATTTCTGTCTTACTGGATTTGCCTATTCTAGACATACCATATAAAATGTGGCTCTTTTTTTTTTTACCTGGTTTCTTTCACTTAGCATAATGTTTTCAAGGTTGATCCAAGTTGTTCCATGTATTCATGTTTCATTCCTTCTAAGACAAGTTTTACTGAGCTATAATTTACACACTATACAATCACATACTTAAAGTATCGTCAAAACCATTGCCATATTTTAGAACATTTCATCACCTTGAAAAAGAAAACTAGCCAGTACTCTTTAACCATCACTGCTCTGTATTCCTCTTGCCCAGTTCTAAGCAAGACACTAGCAGGGCCCTGGTGGTGTAGTGGTTACATTTTGGGCTGTGTATTAGTCTAGGTACTTTGGAGAAACAAATCCACAGCAACTCATGTATAAGAGAGAGTTTTATGTAAAGAAAGTGTGCATCGCGAAAACATCCCAACCCAATGCTGCCCAAGCCCACAAGTCCAACATTAACCCATTAACCCAACACCAGTCCACAAAGTCCTTCACCTCACAAAACAGAGGCGATGATGCCGACTGCAGGAGGAAAGCTGAGTCAGTGAACGAACAAGCATCTCAGCACTAGCAGGGGTCTCCACACGGCTGCTCCAGCACCCAGGGCTGCATCGGGATAGGTCCATGTGGCTTCTCCTTGGGAATGTCTTGTAGGAAGTCAATCTTGCAAGCTGAAGCAGGGAACCGTTAAGGCAGCTGCACCCGATGCAACCATCACAAAACAAGAGACCTGAGAACTAGAAAGGCGAGGCTTCACCACCCATTTATCCCTCCGCCTTTCAACCTGCACCACATGTGATTATCGGCCAGGCTGGCACAATTAACTAACTCAGGCTGGGAACTGCAAGGTCAGCAGTTCGAAACCACCAGCTGTTCTTCCGGAGAAACATGAGGCCTTGAAAATCCCCAGGGGCAGCCACCGTAGGGTCACTCTGAGTTGGAATCGACTTGATGGCAGTGAGCTGAGAAGCAAGCTACGCTCTAATCTACCAAGCTACGATCTGTCTGACAGATTGGCTTACTGTAGACATTTCACAGAAATGGAACAAAAAAAGAAAAAAGAAGTGGAACCATGTAATATAGGGGCTTTTTTTGGTCACGGGGTTCTTTTTACTCAGTCTGTTTTCACGGTTCACCCACGTTGAGCATCTATCAGTACTTCTTTCCTTTCTTTTTTCTTTTTAATCGTTTTATTAGGGGCTCATACAACTCTGATCACAATCCATACCTACATTAATTGTGTAAAGCACATTTGTACATGCATTGCCCTCATCATTCTCAAATCATTTCCTCTTAAACCCCTGGCATCAGCTCCTCATTTTTTCCCCTTCCTCCCCACTCCCCCCTCCCTCATGAACCCTTGATAATTTATAAATTATTATTTTGTCATATCTTGCCCTGTCTGACGTCTCCCTTCACCCACTTTTCTGTGGATGACGCAGTGATGTGGGGGATGGAGTTTGTAAAAGCAGTTACTTACGCTTTATCCTGGATTATGGGTTATAGGAAGAAAGTTTTAAATTGACTGATGGCTGTGGGTGGGGGTGATGCTGAGTAATTTTTTTTCTGGAATAGCCAAAAAAGCTTGGGACCTGATACATCATATGAATATAACATATTTGGCTTACCACTCATCAGTGGATGAACATTTGGCTTGTTTCCATCTTTCGAATAATGGATCGCATTCATATAGTACTATCAGGAATAAAGCTGCTATACACCTTTTTTGTTCTTTTTGCGTGGATGCATCTTCATTTCTCTTGGCTGGAAGGCTAGTTGTGTGGTAACTCTATGTTCAGT